TCACACTAATTTTCCGAAATATTTAAAGCATTTCAACTTGCCCCATATTTTTGCACCCCATAGGGTAAAATGAAATGAGTACAGGAGCAAGTTAAAATGGATGATGATTGTCACAATCTCATTACAAAAAAACAGTGCAGTTGGTTGGAGGACAAACCGGAAATAGTAGTGATTGATGACGAGTAATTGATTGTTGCTCTATCCGATCATTTAAAATGATTTTCATTGTTACAAATTATTATAATGCATAAATGTATTATGCATTTACAGACAGACTGGGGTCAACTTGTTGTAGTAACACTAAATATGTTCATATTGCTAATAAATTACATTTATAATGCGAGTAGTTGTCAACAATTGAAAGTATTTTGTTTAATGTTTATTTCATTGTAATTCCTTGATTATTGTCTGGATGTACTACACTACCAACCGTTCACTATTGTACAGAAACTTCGGAAAAAAGCCCGGAAGCTTTTCAATAGGGCTAAACGAACACAACAGTCGGAACAATATAAGAAATCCCTCACCGCTTATAATAAGGAAATACGGAGATCAAAGAAGATACACTGGAGGCATACATGTGAGAACATTGAAAATACTCCAGCAACTGCTAGGTTGCAGAAAATTCTCGCTAAAGATCATTCCTGGGCACTGGTCTGGACACCTTGAAAAAAAAAAGAGGATGGCTCTTTTACTACTTCTAAAAATGAAACGTTAGAGTTGATGATGAGAACGCATTTTCCATGTTCTATTATTAATTCAAACGAAAACCAAAACGTAACGACAACAGCAATAGGTCTTGTCATAATGAAGTCAACTTATATTGGGTTCCTGGTCATTGCGGGATTGAGGGAAATGAAAGAGCTGATGCACTAGCAAGACTCGGATCTTCTCATAAGTTCATCGGGCCAGAGCCCTTTTGTGGCTTATCGGCTGCTTCTCTTAGAATGGGGCTAAAAGCGTGGAAATCTTCAAAAGTGGAGGAAAACTGAAAGAACACTTCTATTGCTAGGCAGTCGAAGCGATTCATTAATCCAAACATTTCTGTGACCCACAAAATCCTGGAACTTTCTAAGAAAGATCTTAGTATATATGCAGGTCTTATAACAAGTCATTGTCCGAGCCGTTATCACTTGAAGCTGATTGGAAAACTTCAAGATGATGTATGTCGCTTCTGTGGCATAGAAAAGGAAGACTCGGAACATTTGCTATGCCACTGTCCGGCAATTTTCAATAAAAGGCGTAAGTTCTTCGACAAGGGGCTGATAAAACCCTTTGACATTTGGGGAACAACTCCCAGTACAGCAGTGCACTTTATTCGAAGTATAATGCCGTACTGGGATAATGCTATTAGTCAAGCGTTGGCGATCACTCCTAATAATAGTGATACGGCATCTTGATGTAGCTGAAGATAAAAAATGGGGAATATATCACAATAGATCAGAAATACCCGACAAAGAAAAAAAAACCGTACACTTTGGGAGATACTTTTAATCCCGCCAGGAGTTTATGTATAATATCCGCAAAGGGTTATTTTATACATGAATAATAGTGTGTTAAGGATTTTTTTTTACAATTTTCATCGTTAAACTGCTGTATAATAAGTGTTTCAAATAGCCCCACTATATGGGGTAACATGAAATAATACACACTATTATTGTATGCTTAACAAATATGCTTCTGGAAATCTCTTTCATGAAACTGTTGGTGTAAAAACATCTGGTATATCTAAATATATTACTGTTCCAGAGAGCCTTAAATTTCAAGTTTCAAAATACCGTTTCAACTTGCCCCGGTGACCATTACTTCTTATCTTTTACTGGTGCAAATTTCTGGTATCTTTTACCGTTTTAAAGTAATTATCGAAAAAATTAATGGACGATTCTGGGCCATTTTAAGAAAATCATTAAACAAGAAAATGATAGTTTTCTTAGAGATCCTATGGCCGGTCGTTAGTATTACCACTGAAAGATAAGAAGTATTCAAGGATGTATTAAATCATAAGAAAATTTTCATAAACCTGGCGAAGGATTTTCCTGATTTTTATTTCGATTTTCCTCCACTGTGATAAATGCCGTTGAAAACATTTTTCAGATAGATAGATTGCTATTTGAATGTATTGATGAGATAATTTTCTTATCATTTCTCTATACAACGTCATTTCGACAATGAGTTATAAATTATCAAAGTACGAGGTTTTCAGTTTTTTTAGGGTGACTTCAAACTTGTGAGCGATGACATAATTAACTATTTTAATTATTTAAAATATTTTCAAAAAAAATCATGAACGGTGCTTGATGGGTATACAATAAGGGTGCTACTACCACTTTAATTTCAAAATTTGGCCAACCAAATTCTGAGAAAATCAGTCATGATTGTTCAATGTGAATTTGGGAAAATGTAGCTTTAGGTGAAGTTTTATTTTACAAAACTTATGGATCCAAATACTTACGAAGTAAATTTCATTCAATATCTTTCAAATTTCACACAGAAAATGGAAATTTTACGTTAAATAGTATGTTATTTGGGGGGTACCCCCAAATTTTTTATCGGGAGTGTTAATGATTTCCCATAGCGAACAATTTGCAAAGTTTCACGGTAATCTGAAAGGGTCGAGTCTGAAATTCCGATTTTAGCTCATTGGTCTGGATTTGCCCAAACGACAATCGGTATCGACTATTTTCTTAATGTTTACCTTTTTCCATGACGTGTGTGCACTGTATATGGCCTATAGTTTGCATCAAAGAGCAATGTGGCAGCTCACATTAAAAACTTCCACAAACTGATTGACAGTCAATTCAAGGCACGACCACTTAAAATATTTAATTAGCGATCGTAGGAAGTGCTTTGTGTGGTTGAAGGCCCAGCAGATGTCATGGAAGTTGTCTGGCTGGATAACGTTTCTGTTGAGTTGCCTCCTGATGAAATGTTGTTCAATAATTTAGACATGGAGTTCTCGGTGATTGACAATTTCAACGTTTGGTTTGAGCAACCTTTTGTTGAAGACTATATGGAGAGTCACTGTTAAGGTTTTTTTGTTTTTTTTTATATTTCTTTACTTCTTACTTTCCTCTTGAGTTTTTCTTCTTGTTATATTTTAGTTATATCTACGTATAAAAATTAAAATTTGAATTTGTTGTTTTCAGAAGAATTCTATTTTTTCGTTTTTCAGCGTATTTAGGAGTATTGGAAAAAACCACGTAGTCAGGTAGGGGGGGGGGGAGGGAGTTGCTAAATATCTACGGTTGTCTACGGGGGGGAGGGGGGTGTTGGAAATGGAGAAAAATCTGTCTACGTAGTTTATGGACAGCCCCATAGGAGGTAGCCCCTTAGATAAGAGGGGGACGTACAATATAGCATGGTTTTTTTAATTGGCGCATAAAATCAAGCTAATATTGAATCCCGAGCAAGGCCGGGTACACTCAGCAGGCCCAATCTTAGATCCATAGGCCAACATTAGAGCCATTTCCCCTATATTATAAGTTTTAAACGAAAAGAGTAATTACGGGCCGAAAATGTGCGGTTACGTCACCTGGTACGAGTTTACTATACCTAGTCACTATATTCATAGTCTGGCGGATAGAATTTCGATCTATCAAAAAGCGGAACCAATTCACTAAATTTTAGACCAAAAATTGAAAAGGTACTATCAACTTTTATAAACAAAACGAACGCAATTTATCGGCATCATCGGATAGGGCAAACTTTCCTCAACCTAAGTTTGCGTAGGCGCGCCTTGAGTCACGAGAAAAGGGTTTCCGAAGTTTTGTTCGCAATAGCTTATGTGCTCTTTTCTGTTGTTGGTCGTGATTTGTTCGATTGGTTCCGCTATTTGACAGCTGAATTGGTCCCCGAGATTCTATCCACCAGACTATGAATATAGGGACTATAGGGTTTACTGGTTCTAGGCCAAAAAATGAATAGTTAAACGTCAATGCGACCAATAAAGCGATTAAAAAAATAATTCTAGGCTCCATTTAGGACCATTTAAATCCATACTTGATAATCCCGATTAAATGAGCATTCAGATAAATTGTGCGTCTGTTTTTAGTTTATTTAGTTATATATAATTTTTTGTTAAAAAATATTTTTAATTATTTCAACTGTTTAATAATTTAAGGACTTTTTCAATTAACTCGTTGGTTTTGGCCATGTAGGTGTAGTGGCAATTTGTATCAATTTGCGTACATTATTTGATGTTTATATTTTAGGTCTAATATGTCCAGCGTGTTGAAGTGAAAACTGAAAGTGTTCCATAATTGTCGGTTAGTATGATACATAAACAGCTCATATAGTCAAATCCAGATAACTGAGTTAAGATAGATAGAGTTGTTGGTTTTCGGATTTTCCCGGACATCACGCACTTAAAATGCAATAGCATGGTAGATAGAACGTTGTGTAGTGAAATTATCTCAGCAATCCAAAAAATATATAATCTTCTGGAAAATACGAAAATGTTCACAATGATTGTTTGTTCTGGATAAGGAATACCTACGTAAAATAGATTAAGAAAATATCATATCACATTTCGGCAAAAAGTGCGGAACCCGGCTTGCGGTACTATTTTTTAAATTACCACGGCTCCCTTTGTTGTACGTAGTTATTATAAGCCATTTTAATGCATTATTTTCTTTTTACTTGTCTGCATTTAAATATCACTTTAACTAACCGCCAAAAGTTAAACATTAACTTTAGTTATCAATAATTATTATTGTATTCGTTTTGTATGTAGCGAAGCATCCTAGATAAGGTCGGAGCTTACCACTATCAGTGTAGAAGAATATTATTATTTATGCGCAGATATTATCCATATGTTGTTATTTGTTTACATTACCGAAATTTTAAAGGCCTTTTTCAGTGAAATTTTGGTTGTTATTGATATTTACCAACTTAACACAAACAAAAAAAAACCAAAACACCGCCCAGCGACCTTGAGATTAAGTTTATTAATCCCACAGAAGTAAAACGAACCTCTCAGTTTAATTATTTTTTTTTGATACTCACATTTCGGCCACCGTGGTCAGCCGCTCGTCGTTGGCCACCCGCCGGGATTCGGCCTTGTGCCGATCCTGGGAAATATGCAACAGCTTCCGCAGCTCGTCGAGAATCCGCGCTTTTTCCTTGCACAGTCCTCCCTGCGCACGAAATGTACTCATAACACTCGAGTAGGACTCCAATTCTGTGAGGAAAGTAAATTTTGGAGGGTAAGCGAACAGAAAGCGTAGGCAAAAGAAAATGCCTCCAACACTGTGCGAGATCTTCGGAAACTTCGCTGCCACATCGCTACTTACCAAGCCGTCGCAGGACACCGCGACATTCGTCCCGGGTCATGTCCAGCTTGATTGGCCACATCCTTAACCAACTAACGAATCTTCAATTATTTTTGCACAAGAAATCCCGAGCGTTTGCCTCGTAAAAGTCAAACTTTGTCCGTACTGAAAAAAACCTGGCGCTTCTTCCAAACTGTCCTTTTTTCGTTCGTGGCCAGGAACTTATCCAACGCGCACTCGTCTGTTTCACATAATCGATCCGATTGCCGGTATCTGGGGCTGCAAAACTGTCGTTGAAAATCTACTTCCGATCGCAAAACAAGAGAAGAATTTTACACACAAATTCAACATTCGCATAATATGTCCTCTTCCATTTCTGTTTATGAGACGTCAAAATTTTGATCGTGCGAAGCATACAGTCAGCGCTGGCAACACCATGGCTTCGCTTTGCTCGACGCGACGATGTGTTTTTGAAGTCGAAGCGTGCCAATAAGCCGAGGCGACGCTTTCAAAACAACCGAACGAGGGGCTTTTGTGTACAGCTTTCATTCGCTCGTTCACGGCGAGGTTCACAGCATGGTGGGTATATAAATGCTCGTATAAATGGTGATCAGGGGGTAAGTCACTCTGCCACCTTGTGTCTGTGCTTATTGTGTTTCCAGTGTGTTTTTGGGTGTCGGAAAGTGTTTCATCGTTTTGACCGATCTGTCAAAACTTCAACCGAAAAAATATATTTATTGGCAACCATATCCTCAACCATAACAACATAACGCTGATAATGACAGATCCTCCTGCGACTCCTTTGTTGTTGTTTGTGTGCAGATTAATTCATGGAACGAGCATTGGCCCTCCCGCATAAGCGCGAACCATAAATTGACCTTACCGATTATGGTTATAAATTGTTTATAATCCCTGCTAAACTTCAACTGAAATGGTTATGGAACTTTACATGAACGTTTAATGATAAAGTTTTAACCTTAAGTATTATAGTTTTTTGGAAGTGGACCTTACAAATAATGGGTTGTTAAGAACCATTACCATTCCAAATTCTTGTTTTCTCCATACATTTTCGGAAAGAAAACTTTACTAAAACCTTTTAACTTATGGTTTAAGAACATTAATGGTAATGGTTATGGTAACCAGTAAGGTCCATGAATGGTTTTGTAACATCGATCAACTTTATGTGGAATATATCGCGAATTGGTTGCCTGTAAATTACTGATTACCAATTCACGATATATTTCACGTAAAGTTGAGTGATAATACAAAACCATTAATGGACCTTACTGACTACCATAACCATAACCATTAATGTTCTCAAACCATAAGTAAAAACGTTCTAATATAGTTCTCTTTCCGAAAATGTATGGAGAAAACAAGAATTTGGAATGGTGATGGTTCTTAACAACCCATTATTTGTAAGGTCCGCTTCCAAAAAACCATAACACATAAGGTTAAAACTTTATCACACAAACGTTCATGTAAGGTTCCATAACCATTTCAGTTGAAGTTTAGCAGGGATTATAAACAATTTATAACCATTATCGGTAAGGTCAATTTATGGTTCGCGCTTATGCGGGCTCTCACTTGAGGAGGATGACGAAATGGGCACCTAACCTGGCGCCTGATGAAGTGCTCACTCACTCTCAAGGGCGCCTTCAGTCAGGCTGAAATGCACAACTGGTTTATGCGGTTTATGAACAGTATCCCGGAAACTCGCCCGGAAATACCGAAAAATATTTATGGAAACGAAAGGAATAGGCTCTTTTCCTTTCACGTCTTCTGATTTGTGAATACGGCAAGGTGGAAGCGAATTTCAGAAGCGACAACATTTCTACCATTTAGATTCTGAAGGACTTTATTATGAAGGAAGCCACCAAGAAACGGATCAAGTTGGAGATTTCAACCAGTAAGTAACAACTTTCAACAAATTCGATTTGATTGATAACAGCGTAGCACCCATTTTCAGATATCAACAAGCAAACCTTTCCCGGATTGATCAAGTTGATCGAGCCAAAGATCGTTCACTACAACAAGCTGACGAAGGACCACCAGATGCTGCAGGCACTGATTGATTTGGACATTCGAAACGATGAACCATATCTTCGAGATTCTGACCGATATGTACATCGATAAGTTAAAGTTCAAAGGGGTCAATGTGAATACGAAACTGCCGCAGTTGACAGACCTGCTGGAGAATTATAACTATGCCGAGTTGGTCAATTTCTACAGTGTCGTGAAAGCGGTTGATGATGAGTAAATGAATTGGTATTTTAAATAAATCCACATTTCGGGGACACATTTCGGATGAAGTAAAGTCGATCGATCACCTTAATGGTCTAAATATTCATTCTTTTCTAAAAATAACACCAATTCCCCTGGTCATAGTAACTATCTTCCACGCTAATTCAACCCACCACCAAACACAATTCGGACGCATGGTTATACCTGAGAAAAGTTACCTTCGCTTCCTGCTGCTGCCGTTCTACGTCACGCAACTTCCAAGGAACCAGCAAATCCTGATGCTGGAACTGCGTCCTGTTGGTGGGAATCGGCAGCACCGATTCCCCGTCGCCATTTTCAATCGAAACCACCTTCTCCGGCTCTCCATTCCGCGGTAGTTTATTGTTGTGCTTGTTCTGCCGTATATAGCCTGATTGTCTTTCTCAAATCAGTGCCCGTCCTCCTGGGCGAAGTATTCGACACATTTCCCTAATCGCTTGCCTACGACGTTCCCGCGATGCCAGGTGATGCATAACCGCTATGCAGATACAAGCATCCGCACATGCCGCTTTAAAAGGTAACGCTAGGCAGTCGACTTGTACCACAAATGAAGCCACGGGCGGTGCAAACTTTCAATAATCCGTCGCTCCGAGCGCAGCCCGAGCCGATGATCTGAGGATTCAACACCAGGTATTTACCATTACCTCATCCAATGTTCAGCAGGACGGACCCGGGACTAAGCGATTCCAAGAACCCTGCAATTCGTGGCCACGATGAGTGCCTCCAGCTCCAATTGGGCAGTGTTCTCTTTGATACGATCAGCTCTATCATTCGCTTCTTGTTGATACGTATCACACAGAGAAAAACTGACAACGGCAAGGGCCATCATTCAACTTTCTGAACGTAAACGATACTCATTATTCACTTTCCTAATTGTTAGGCTGTCATTCAACCTTACCGTATCCATATTTCTCAGCGTTATTCCAAGAGTCCATCCGTATCGACTTTCGCCGGACATTACGAGCAGAGACCTTCGGGACAAATCCACATTCAAGTGTTGTCCTGTGGTGTCCCGAAAATCCATTACTATATCACTTCCGACGGTATGCGAGATTTGCCGATAATCCTCGTACTGAATCGTACCAATCTGGGGTCGAATCGTTGTAACTGTAAGCAACAACAACAATAACAACATAATAATCGAATGTAAACATTATTTGCAGTGGTGCCAGAATTGAATAAAAAATTTGCTTATCATACGGTGGAAGAGTGTTTGTGGGTGTTTGAAGTGTATCGAAGTGTGTTTCTGTGGGTGTTAGCACAATGTGGCAGAGTGACTTACCCCCTGTTCTATGCGTAGTACCAACAATCAATACGAAACTAACGATTTTAAATTGGCTCACCACTTTAGTAGCCTATTGGTCCCAAGCAAACGATTAACGTACCCTATTCTAGTTGAAATTCTATTACTACACTATGTTTGTTTTGATTCGCTATGAAAGTTTGACAGATAACATCAGGGGTGTGTGGATTCATGCAGAACATGCAGGGGTGAGTGAAATAGCTTGGGACTGCTTGGGACCGTTGTTCTGGTACTGAGTGAGCCAAAAATAATAATGATTTTCTTCGGGACCCAGTGGTCTTAGAGTTACCTCTATGGTAGTACGTAGTACGTTCAGACTACAGAGTTATAACATAGAGGTAACTCTAAGACCACTGGGTCCCGAAGAAAATCATTATTATTTTTGGCTCACTCAGTACCAGAACAACGGTCCCAAGCAGTCCCAAGCTATTTCACTCACCCCTGCATGTTCTGCATGAATCCACACACCCCTGATGTTATCTGTCAAAGTTTTATAGCGAATCAAAACAAACATAGTGTAGTAATAAAATTTCAACTAGAATAGGGTGCGTTAATCGTTTGCTTAGGACCAATAGGCTACTAAAGTGGTGAGCCAATTTAAAATCGTTAGTTTCGTATTGATTGTTGGTTATAACATGTTATAGCGCTATCTTGATGGTGGTTTCTGTGTTGCAATTAGTTGACAACCGTTATACATGTTATAGCTCTCCAGTCTGGACAGCGTTTAACTCTAAAACGCTGTCAAGACTGAGCAGTTATAACATGTTATAACGGTTGTCAATTAATTGCTACACAGAAACCACCATCAAGATAGCGGTATAACATGTTATAACCATAGAGGTAACTCTAAGACCACTGGGTCCCGAAGAAAATCATTATTATTTTTGGCTCACTCAGTACCAGAACAACGGTCCCAAGCAGTCCCAAGCTATTTCACTCACCCCTGCATGTTCTGCATGAATCCACACACCCCTGATGTTATCTGTCAAACTTTCATAGCGAATCAAAACAAACATAGTGTAGTAATAGAATTTCAACTAGAATAGGGTACGTTAATCGTTTGCTTGGGACCAATAGGCTACTAAAGTGGTGAGCCAATTTAAAATCGTTAGTTTCGTATTGATTGTTGTTATAACTCTGTTGTCTGAACGTACTATAAGACTAGAAGGTCCCGAAATAACGTGCACAACTTTTTTGCTCAGCTCTGGTACTCTCTTCGGTCCCAAGCTAATCAATTCACCCCTCGAAACATAGGAAAAACCGGGAAAAACCAATAACCCCTCATTTTATCTGTCAAACCCCAAACGAATCAAAACAAACATTGCGTAGTACTAGAATTTCGACTAGAATGGGGTACGTTAATCGTATGCTTGGGACCAATAGGCTAGTCAAGTGAGTCAAGTAGTGAGCCAATTTAAAATCGTTAGTTTCGTATTGATTGTTGCTATAATCAGGTGTGAAATCCGAGGGGGACGACTCTATCTTCGATGCAGGAAATATTGTGATTTGCTGTGGTTAGCTGCGCGTACGCTGAGTATATAGAAAGAAGATTTATTACGATTTTGAAGATTTCCTGCAAAAAGATGATGCGTGATGCAAGTAGGTGCGAGAAATTAAAGAGGATTTTTTGAAGATTTATTCGCTAGTGTGAGATTTTTTGAGCATCTAGAACTGAGATTTAGATGTGTCGCCCCCCTCGGTGAAATCTACAATACTATTTAGATTTCAATATTTTTTGAGTGTCCCTTTTTTGACAACAATAACGGGTGCAAATAAAAAGATCGCAAATATTGGGTGGTA